CGCATATTACGCGAATCGTTCGCGAATCACCGATCGTAGGCTCATATGGTAATGAGGTAATGAAATTAATCTGGTAAAGTTTTGTTGTGCCTTCCGTTAATTAGAGCGCAATTACGGTGGCACAGAAGCTAATTTAAACCATTGGTAATTTGCATCCTGGCGAGTAGTCGGTCGGTGCACCACAGTAATTGGTACGAAATTGATCTTCATACAATAGATGCCTTCGTTATGCAAATTGGAGTAATTCGGTATGGGCTGAGGGAGCAGCCACGTCAGCTGGTGTGTCAGGCGTTCTCGATTCGATTCCAAGGGCAGCGGCAAAGTTTTTTATTATTAAGTGCCAATTTCTATGAGCGGGTCAATCATATGGCGGTAATTAGACTCCGTGAGCTGAAGAAATGGCAACAACTCGACGGACAACGAACGACTGGGACGGTATGATGCTTTATCACGGTCTGGTTATGGCAGGGCCAACGAAACTTGCCGTCTGCGGATCAATACGTGGTCGGTTTACTGTAGATTAAGGATCGACCTATCTTGTGACAACAATCAACAACAACAATTACAGATCATTTTTGGAAATGAGCCATGACCCTCACTTCATAGTGTTGATGCCCACGTCCGTCTGTCTCCTGCGATTTGTCGCTGCAAGCTTCGATTTACCCCTTTTGGCTCATCACCTTATTTGAGATGGTCTTCAGTCTGGGGGCTTGCAAATATTTGGGAACCAGTTTACAAAGGTTGATGCCCATCTTTCATCCGTCGGTTGTGCGTTGCGACCGGTCCATTGTCGTTTTCTTTCTTGTAAAATTGGCACTTTGTCCTACTTTCCTGTGTGCCGTCTGATTTCTTCAGATATCAGCTTGTCCCTGATGAAAATTCCGATCATCCTTCTTTCCGTATCCCATTGCTTTACTCGTGGCAGTTCTTCATCTTTTTCCGTTAGCGTTGAGGTCGTAACGTAAAAAGTGCTTGGCATTACCATACTTTCGTACAATATGGTTATAGGCACAACTAATGGCTTTCTGTTTCCATGAGCGACACCGTGTCTTCTTTACATACTCCTCCGCATGACGCTTTCTATGACAAAGTTCAGATCAGTGTCAACGACTGCATGTTAGCTGCCTTGCACAGCGAGTACAGAGGGCATGATAGGTGATTGCAGAAAACACCTCCAACAAGACCACTGATCTCGTAAGAACGGACATGGTGTCGAAAGGGGCAGAAGGCGAGCACGCTTTTCTCGTGTCCAGATGGATTTACGCAGTAGGCGGCATCGACTTCGATGCACACAGGTGGGTTGAAAAAAATACTATAATCGACTTATGGCCATATCCGCTTTTATAGGAATGAAGCTGCTTTCTCTTTTAGATTGCTAATATTTTGTTTCTGGTTTGGTCTGACCAAGTTCATCACCCAATCAATAGTCGTTTCAGATATTTTGTCTGATAATTTATAGGTAATAAAGTGCGATATTACTTTGCATAACTTTCTAACATCCAGCTGTTTCAAATTCCGGCTATCCATGAATCTCGTTTAATGTGAAAAATGCTATTTTCGTAATCTAATGAGAACAAACGATGAGATGGTTTTCAAAACAAAGCCAAACATTGTACTCGAGGATGAAGGGTACCAGGACCAACTTTCCTTTCAGTCCATTTCCAAGATACGCAATTGATTTAGTTCGAATCAAGCGCTGTTAAATAATGATGATGCTATGCGGTTTCGAAAGGCTTGATGCCTGAAAAATGTATATCGTCCATGTAACCCGTTGCCATGAACCATGAATCAACAAAACAAATCATATGATTACTGTTCTAGCAGGCAACGATTCTTCTTTTCTCCCTCCATATTAATTTATTTTAAAGTGTATATTAACAATTATTTAATATTTGACTGACCTAGTCATATAAATAGTATCAAGGAAACGATTCAATTCAGTGCATAGGAATTCTATCGTTTGTGATACGTATGCTTCACATACTTGCAAATCAAAGGTTTGCGTAAAACGTTTCCACTTTGATCCATGCATCACCGACCGTATAAACGATGATTGCGGATAAGGCTTTCGGTATCGGTGGCCTTTCCAAACGACACGTGGTCGTCCACTGACGTTAGCTTTGAGTCGCACTCGAACCAAGGTCGACCCATATTCGCACAACGCCATCGTATGCGACAATGCAAGAGCGTTTTCTGAGCTACAACGAGAGGTCACCGGGCTGTACTAAGATAAACAAGCAATTTATACATATGATGCAGACAAATTTGCAGGTCAGAATTTGTTTACTTTCATTTGGATGACAACCATCACATGAACAATAAACACAGCATTTGTCATAGAAAATCTATCTAGACCTAGCGCAAATTCAAAGTCCAATCGATGACATCGAAAAGGTCGTCTGCCTGCAACAGAGGTCACGTCATTGTCGATTTGCACCATTTCCATGCGGTCTCATACGATTGAAGAAGAATCGCAAGTCTCTGTACCGAACCTTTTGAAATGAAAATATTTGCTGCCACTCTGCTTTCAGTTCTGTGCCAATTTGCTACTTCCGGCAATCCTCACTGCCACGTGGTTGGACAAGTGAACTGCGGCATACAACAGGTTCCGAACGACACTTACGCCGCTTTAACGAAAGGTGAGGCTG